TCCAGTTTCTTTCCCAGCCACAGAGTTTCGACCGTCTCTCTGTCCTCATTGGCGGTTAGACTTCCCTTTGGGTACGCCCCTTCTTCTTCCATGCGTCGTATCTTATTCAGGTTGCTTATAGCTTCACTGAAATTCTTGTCTTGTTGGCGATAGAGCCATATGGTGAGTACTTCGCTGATGTCTATGCTATCGTAGGCGTCCAACAAACGCGTTGCTTCGTTCGTCCTGACACATTTCTCTACCCTGTGCGTCTGCGCTTCCAAATCGCTGCAGTGCGCTCCTTTCAACGCCTTCTTATTTGTATTGACATACTCATTGACTCTCTTGTCTGTGTCAGAGTCTTCGGGCAGGTAAGCTGGAAGCTTGGATATATTGGTATGCCGTACAAGTCGCTGGGCAAGTAGCTCTTCTCCTTCTTTTTCTGTTGGCGGCTTAGCAAATGTTTTAGGGTCATATTCGAGTAAAGGTAAGGGCTTCAATGCTTCGTTCCTTGTCGGGGTACTCAGCATCATCCTAAAATTCTCGATTCGAGTGTTTAGAAACTTTCTTTCTTCATCGACGCGTTCTGGGAATCGTTTATGCTGATGCCATAGGTTCTTGAACCACTCCACCTCGTCCTTTGTAAGCTCAGTCTTTCTTGACGGGAATTCGTGATGCTCTTCGAACGTGTATCCGTAGCCGAACAGGCGTATTTCGTTGTCGTGCTGAAGGTAATTTTCTGTCCAATTATACAGGGACCAGGTGAGCTTAGTTTCTGTCGTCCAGACTTCTATGACATTGTCTAGGTCGAGTTGTACGTCTATCCAGGGGTCTTCGTAAGTTCCGTCTTTATTCATCTTTGCAATCTCGTCTAACGCGACCATTGCATGGTTGAAAATACGGTTCTGTTCGCGATACAGCCACACTGTGATGGTGTCGGCCGCGTTCAGTCCCTCGATCACGGTCACTATTCTCTCAGCTACGTCCTCGGGGTTCATTACTTTGTATTGCTGACATTTTCTGGGTATGCTAGTTCTCCTTATATACCCTTTAAAGTGGGGCTTGCTGACCGATCGTCTCCAGGCCTTACTAATGCTGACAGATGCCAGTACGCCCTCTGCGCTCTCTAGGTCACTTTTTGCTTGGTAAGCATTTATTTCGTTCTTACTGTTCGGAAGCTGGTGACTCATCGTCTTACTAATTACTCCAAGGACTAGGTGCGATGATGACTCAGAACACATCGTCTGGGAGGCCATTTCCTCACTTGATTTGTTGGTAAGTTCGCTACTTAGTTCTTCCGGGGACTCCAATTTCATAAGCTGATTTCCCCTAGGGTTAAGCTCTTGATAGCGTCGGCGGGCTCTCTCTGAGCTTCCAGACTCGCTTACTAAGGGTGAGTTTTCCCGTATATTTCCTTGCTTCCATGTGCAGTCATTTAGGAGCCAGTCGGCTGGTTCCATCTGACCTGACTGGTCGATCCCGTTCATAGAACTGGATTCCAGTTCTTGGAAGCGTTCGGATGTGTCCGGACCAATGGGTATTAGCGTTGCTCCACGGCGTTGGAGCTTTTGTCGCTTCTGGACACGGGTACGCAATTGGCTTGCTTCATAAGAACTATGGCTTTTAGTTTGCTGACGGCGCGCGTTGGTCATAGTCTTTTCCCAACGGTGCGGTTCATTAATTAGTGCATTTCCTGCCACTGTTCTTGGTCTTACGATATCTCTAATGCGTTCTCGTATCCGTGTTTGTAGATACCGTGGTGCCGGTGTCCATATACTAAGGTGTTCGAGCGATTGGTGAGCTTGATTGCTGAAAGGTAGATACTCGGGGTCCATTGTCAAATGCTTACTCTGACGTAGCATTAATTTCTGGGTCTTCTGCAGATAAGATACTGCGTTGGATAGGGAGAATAGCGGGTTTTCAGGCTGTCCCGGCAGTGGTATCCCGGTACCTACAGCCAGGAAATTGTATTCTTCTTCATCAGAGTCAGTTTCTTCAGGACTAGAACTTGTATGCCTTCGTTTCCTATCATTTACAGTCTTGTTTTGGGGTGAAACCGATCGAATTGTCGTATACTGGCTGCTTTCCAAAGTGCGTTCCCATTGCGAGCGGTGTAGGGTATCCGGGGGTGTTGATCTAATCAATTCTCGGCCTCGGCCGACTCCGGGGTCTGCTGGTACTGGAGCTAGGGCGCGTTCTACTTCTTCGCTTGATCCGCTTATTGATGCGCTTCGTTCCGCTTCCGTTTCGTCACTTCTACTTTTCCATTTCGGCGCCATTAGACTGTACTGCTCAAGGTATGCACTTTCCGCTTGCCCTTGAGGATGGCTAGCTGTCTGATCTAATTCCTTGAATATGTCTAAGTATCCCCAGTGTTCTCCTACTAATTCCTTGTCTGTAGTCCAGCCATAAGGCTTTGTAAGGCCTTCAATGTCAGGACTTGGGGATGATGTACTATAAGGATTCCTTATTGGTTCAAGGGCTAGATTGTCACTTAACCAAGATAAACTGGGTAAGTTTACTGAGTTTATTTCATTTCCTGATGTTTGCTGATCTGATATGCAGTACTCAGGTAATGTTACAGCTGATGTGGAACCTAGTTGTTCTGATTCCATGGTGCTTGATTGTTGCAGGACTGAATTGGACTCCTGATTGGTTTCCTCAATGAATGCTCCTGAACTAATTATGTCTTCAATGCCTCCATAGTATGTACTAGCTGGCAGGTAACTTGTAGCTAGTTTACTTAGATATTCAAATATCTTTCTTGTGTTGGTTGGGTCTGATTCTGAGACTAATAGCTCATATTGATGACTTGCAGGATGCTTGGGGTCTTTGAATAGAAGGAATGTTCCTTCAGGGCGCTCATCTATGGTAATGAGATTTCCCCTTTGCCAGGGGCGCCCTAGTAATAAATCAAATGGAGTATCTTCTCCTACAAAACATGTGGCTGGTGTACTGATCTGTCCACATTTGAAGGGAATGTTAGTTACTACCCCTTGAAGGATTCCTTCTCCTCCATTAGCATCATTCATGGTAACTGAACAGGAAAGGTCTCTAGGATAGTTTACACACTTTTTCCAAACATCCTGGCGAAGGATGTTTAATTGTGACCCAGTGTCCACGATTGCTGTAATTGCATGATTGTTACAACTTAAGGTTAGCTTGATTAATGTTCCTCTTGATGGGGCAATCATTGCAGCTGCTACTACTGATTTCTTGTCTGGTTGAGTACTTGCTATTATTGCTTGTTTGGGTTTAATTATATTCTGAAGCATAGTGGTTACTGGCTTGGATATTCCAATAAGATCTCCCACAGCAATCTGGATTTGAGATCCCAAAACTTTTTCTAAAATCTTCTGAGGGTCTACTCTTGATTGTAGTTCTGACTGTCTAGGGTTCCTTTTCTCCACATCTGTTTTTGCTGGCTTATGAGCTGGTTTCTGTACTTTTTCAATTTTTGGCTGTTCCTCTTCAGGGTCATCCATGGCAGCATCACTGTCATTTGGATCAAATTCAATAGACTTCTGAATTGGAACTGGTTGATTGATT